TGTTATGTCCAGTGCTGTTTTTCCAGATGGTTTTCCGAACGTGTTCGCCCATCCAAAATCACCCGCACTTTCTATGCTGATGGAAATGCCTCAGATCGCTGGATTGCTGAATTTGAGAGCGAATCCCTCAGAGAAAGGGCACAAGGCATCAAACGTGTGCTTATGGGCCGAGTGATCAAGTAAGTTCCCAGGTACCAGTTCCCAAGGACTAAAAATTAACGTGCCTTTTAGGATGGTTCACATATCCAACGAGGATGCTGATGAACTAATGAAGATTGAAGATGTCTATGGTGAAAAGAGAAAGGAGGATAGCGAGAAGGTAAATGTGTGTTCCAACATTTTCTATGAAGTGTCTCATAAGTCGTATTTGAGCTTGTATTTTTTCTGCTAATTTTGCTTTTTTAGCACATGAACGAAATGCCTCATTTCAATGGTCCGCCACCCTTCCGCGGACGTGGTGGAGGAGCGCCAACATTCTTCCCAGCTCCTGGTTAGTCTGATACCTGTTTGATGAAAATGAAAATAACGTTCAAAACGGGAAAGAAGTCGTAGTAAAACAGCAAATCACGAGTGATAGACAATTTGCAGTGTATTTACATGGAGCTATTATTATATTTACAATTTTTTATTATTCTGTTAACTCATTTTGGAAATTTTTTCAAAATATTGTGATACCTTTCATGTATGAGTCCAACATTTATCGTTTAGTACGAGGTGCAATGGGACCATCGTTTGGACGTGGTGGACCACATGGTCCTCCTCCAATGATGGGAATGGGAGGTAGGTTATTTTTTCGATTTAGCTTTATTTGCTTGTTGCCATCGTCGTTTTAATTTTTGATTTGATAGCTTTTCTAAGCATTTACCTTTAGGTCCTGGATATCGCGGAAGAGGTGGCATGGGTCGTGGAATGCCTTATGATTACGGTAGAGGAAGAGGACGAGGAGCATTTCGTGAGTTTATTAGTGCAAAATTTGTGATTTTTGGTGCATTCGTGAGTTTAGCTGGACGTGGTGGTATGCGAGGAAGGGATGACAAGCCGTTCATGCGTTCTGGTAGAGACATAATGGAAAATGGACATGGTGAAGAAAACAGAGAGAATCATCAGATGGAGAAATCAAACACAGCTCCAGTAGCACCACGCAGCCCTGAGCCGCAGGTAAAATTTGCAGACAATTTTTCTGAAAATTTGGCCTAAGGTGATGTCGTTTTAGCCAGTAGCAGCCACTGATGATCTGGTTGCTTCATTGGGTCCAAAGGGTACGGTAGTGTCCTGCTGTGGATTCCCATCTGATGTGACCTTGGAAGATGTGCTGGGATTTTTCCAAGGTTATACAGCCGATCAAAATTCTGTACGAATTCGAATGGGTGATGATGGTGTGCCAACTGGAGAGTGCATGCTGGCAATAGATACTGCTGAGGTACAGAAATTCTTTGTCTTTTGGCGAATTTCATGGGTATAAAATTCATTTACGGGATTTAGTAGATTGTAGAGTGAGAAGAGGAAACTGTGATTCTTTTTGTTTTTCAGAGAAAAGCTACTTGCAGAGTTGCATTGTGCCTAAATTGGGCGAGTCTCTATAGTTTCCACTCAGACAAC